ACAACGACTCCAAATTTTGGAAAACGTCTCGGAGGCCGTAAGTTGCTTTCTCATCTATCTTAGATCTGGGTTTACACACAAGTTGGAGGCAACCATTAGACACTAGCTAATGAAAATAAAATGCCCAGTGCTACAAAAAGGAACTTCAGGAGTCGTTTGTCGAACCCTGTGCCGTTTCTGGCAAGGCAGTTACGTCGGGGTAATTGGAAGACGGTTTTACATACTAGTGGCCGCATACGCAGCAGCGGAGTTGAGAAATGATGCCAGCCCCCAGGTTGCGGCTCGTTCAACTGGACCCACTGGCACATTCAAGTTCGACGACGCATCAGTTCGCGCGAGAGAGGACACTAGCGTAAGCCGAGAGCTACTTGAATCGTTGTTCAGCGACATTTAGACTGTTAAAAAGTACAATGGCCTCGGTTGTCCATGTTGGATGCTGAGACGTAGCCTGGACTTTACGACGATCGACGCCGAATTCACCCCATCTTTTTCTATTTGCTACTTTTTCAAAATCGACGTGACTAAGTATGCGATTCTGTAGATGCTCTTGAAGGGAAAATTTTCTCCCGTTGTGCCTATCAGAATTTATAGCGCCCAGGAAGATTGCCGATAGAAACTAGCAAGCAAGTTCCAGGCACCAGTTCATGAGAAGACAATGAGATGACCAGAACAAGTAGTCTATTTGCCTGACGTTTCGGACTCTCACTTTAACCCGTGAATAAATATGGACGCCATACGCCTGCGAAATATTGTTTGTAACAATAAAACTTCAGCCTGTGCTTGATAATCACATATGAAGTGGAGTACAATCTTGTCAATCAATTCAGGGACGGTTTTGTAGATGCTACTTGCTCATTCCATACTCTTTGATGCGTTCTAGTCAGTTCGTTTTTTCCAAGAATAATATGTTCAATCAATCAGACTCTATTTCAAATATCTGTGTATTTTCCCCAAGTTCTTTTATTTTCGCTTCAGAGGCTGTACCTCGGAAAACATTTCCGCGCTTTTTTGCCCCTCACATCTGTTTCGTCGCCCATTGGACCTTGACTTTTGACGGGATTCGGTATATTCAATTCCAAACTTTCCTTTGCGCTTCCTGTACCTCTAAAACTTCATCACTTGTCCCATGCCATTAGGAGTCCCGAATCAGTTTGATATATATACAGTGCGTGACCTATCTCATGAAATGTTGGCTGAAATTCTGAAATGCGTTTTCGATTAGGAAGGATTACTTGGTCGCGGTTGTGATACTGATTATCTTAAGGCATACTCTTATAACATTTTGGACTCGCAGGATGTCGGCTTTTAAATGCCTTTTTTTCAATCTCCTGTAGAAAGCGCGCTCAGTAAGAAAGGAGTACTTAATTAGCATGCATTTTCCCCATTGATTTTCGATGGTCTTGGAAATTCAAATATATTTTATAGAAACCACAAACAAAAATATGCTTTCTTTTAGTCAGTAAATAGAGAATTACGTCTTCTTTATACTTTGTACTTAAGAAAGGAGTATAATTAGGTTCTCAAAAATATTTATTTGTCGAAAAATATGGAGCCTGATCATTCGTTGCATTAGCGCTTAGTGATTACACTCTACAAGGTGCATGCGTTCCGCGTAAAGAAAATCCCATATTTTTCTATGTCATTAAGGAGATATCATACAGGGTCCATAAAATTTTGCAATGGATGCGGACCATGTTGTACATTTCATGAGGGGCAGTGGTAAACGGCTTTCTACAGGAGATTGAAAAAAAGGGCATTTAAAAGCCGACATCCTGCGAGTCCAAAGTGTTAGAAGAGTATGCCTTAAGATAATCAGTATCACAACCGCGACCAAGTAATCCTTCCTAATCGAAAACGCATTTCAGAATTTCAGCCAACATTTCATGAGATAGGTCACGCACTGTATGTGCACAAACTTTATAAACGGAAGTTGTTTCGTTTAATGTTCCGCTGAGTAATAGTGTGTCAAGGATGACCAACACTGTTACCTCGTATGGAACGAAATGGCGCAAGGTCAATACAAATCTCGTTAAAATTCTACCAGCTGTCCTCAGAACAGTCACTTAGTTTCACACCCCCTAAAGCTGAGCATATTGGGCCGAAGTTGCATGCGGGCACATGACTGAGCGTGCAGAAAATAAAGGTCAACGGACTGCCGCCATGCTGTGGTCTAGAAAGGAAATTACCGTACCCCAGCTTTACTTTATAAAAACGGAGGTGCCGACTTAGATGAATACGATAAAGCACTATTTTAATATCCTTTTTGGTTGCTAGATAGTACGAAACTTTTAGGTGGTGTATTCACTTTTAAAAATGCTTTTTTCTCTAGTCGCAAGTTTTTTTTGTAAGTAATTCGCGGTGTATTACATGGATTTTGATCAGATGGTGCTTAAATATTTTATTATCGCCTTGTTTTATGGTGACGTCAAAATGAATTCTGCTGCTGCTGGCTGATCGATATCGGGTAACTCCCATTACAGTATGCATACCCAGCTCATCCTAGAATAAATTCTTTAAAAAGATATTAGCAGCCACTAGCTTTTCAAAGAATTTGCTTTTAACCTGGGTTTTTTGATCGACCTTTTCAACTGATTCTCAATTTTACATGGTAAAACAATGAAAACCAGGGACGCAATTCCTCAACAGTAAATGCTCGATGCTTTTCTTCCTGAGGCCGTGCAGATAGCAGAAATTGAAGAGTGAATTCACATTCTCTTGTTTTCTAAAAGCATCCAATAATTGGTGATTTCAGATACTTCGAGAATGCAGGAAATATTTTCGTGATATTGAGCACTGTTTAAACCTCAAAAAATACGTCCTCGACTGGCATAACAGCATTAAACAAATTAATCTATGACAACGAAGTGCGCTTAAAAACTTCTGCAATTGAATTCACTACTCGTAACGACAGCGAATTGCGCCAATTCGATTTAAGGGTGACTAATATAAGGATTTGTCCAGTAACCTAAACCGAACTGACGCCTCTGTAAACACTCTCATCCATCCCACATGTACCAGTCCGTTGTCCGGGCTGGCCAGCCATCTGATGAGAGGTGTGCACTCAAGTGTCAATCACGGCGTCAACCTGCACATAGGCATGCTCTTACAGTAAGTGTGCTAACTCATGAAATGTCAACCGAAATTCTGGAATGCGTTCTTGACTAGAAACGATTATTTAAGTAAGGTTTTCAAATTTATCATCATACAGTATAAATCTATAATAATTCAGTTACCTCGGGATGCCGGCTTTCGAAAGAACTTTTTTCTGGCCCCAGGCAGAAACCATATTTTGTAAAAAAATACCTACTTAATTGGCATGCATTTTTCCATTGATTTTCCATATCATTAAATATTAAATTTTATTTTATGTTAGACGTGCACAAACATATTCTTACTTTGGTAGAAAGCTACATCTCCAAATTTTGCACTCGACCAAATTTATAATTTGGTTTTCAAGAGGTTGCTAACTATCAGAAACATGCACTTAAACATCGTGCATTTACTAATGTTGCTTGTAAATTTTTCAATATGACTCAAATCCACTGCTAGATTTTATGAACCTTATACAACCTCCTCTTAATACCGCAGAGAAATATACAGTTTTCGTAGGCAAAAAATATACTGTTTAAGGTTTGGGAACCCTGAATGCCCGTGTAACGGCAGGTAGGCTTCAGAACTATTCGGGAATCAAAAATGTTTTTGAAAACCGAATTGTATCCTTTCTTCAAATAAAGCGTTAATGGGAGACGTAAATTTCTACCGAATTCCTAGAAATGAGTATGTTTATGCATGTTTTGCATTAAATATACTTGAATTTTTAAGGGCACCGAAAACCAATGCCTGCTACTTAAGTAGTCGTTTTTGTAAAATATGATTTTCGTCTGAAGCCAGGAAAAAGTTCGTTCGAAATCCGACTTCCCGAGGTAACTGAATTATTATAGATTTGTACTGCATGATGATTCATTTGAAACACTTACTTAAGTAATCTTTTCGGGTCGAGAACGCATTTCAGAATTTCAGTTGACATTTCCTGAGTTAGCCCTCCTACTGTGCATCCCCAGATGTTGCATTTCTTATGGATTACGCGATTTCTGTGCAGGCCGCTTAACACATAACATGCCCTTATCTGGCCCTCGAGGAGCTCAGCGTATCTACCAGGTGGCTTGTTCAGTCTGTATAGTTGTGGTAATAGTAGCAATAGTACTATGTACTACTGGAGTAATAGTAACAGTAGTAGTCCAGAAACGCCAACGTACCCCCTCCCCACTACTCTAACTGCCGATGCTGTCCACGCACATTCACTCACTGCATGGACCTAGTAGGTCGCACGCGCCTTCAAGGAAACCTGCGATAAATCACCGCAGACACGACCACACCACCACACATGCCCCCAACAACACATACACCACGCACAAACCCCTCCAAAATCCCATATCACCGACACCTCCCAAGTAAGTGGGAAGTGTGCTCTTTAGCCCCTTTCTCCGTATGGCTTCCTTGCTGCATGTGTGATCCGAGCGTTCTATTCCCCTTTTGCATGAAAGGTGAGGTCATACATACGTCGCACGCAGACGAGCTCTCTACCTCTGTCAGCCATCGCATCCATCCCTCCCCCCACCAGACGCTGACCAGCTCGGACAGTGCGTGGAGCCTGGGAGGGGGAAGGGAGAGTGGGATCGACTGCTCCGCCCATTTTCCTCCCCATAGACAACCTGACGGCCTTGAAGCTCTCACAGTGTGCAAAAAAACCCGTGGTCTAAGAGGTTGCCAACCGGCGGAATAACTTGAACCTCGCAGTTGGCGCAGTGTGTATGTGCAGAGTTACCGACTTGAGGACTGAAAGTCACTCTGCAATTGCTCTTTATAAGGGCACTCCCAACACGTGGGATCCGAGGCGGGCGTGAGAGCACACCTAGGGGTGGCTCCAGCCGCGCCGGCCATCTGTGCGCTAACTTACCTCCGATCTTCTTGACTCTGTCTTGGCAACGGGCCCATGCGGGCTAGGAGGAGAGGGTGAGACAGGTGCTGCGCAAGTCCACGCGCATGTGGCCATCCCTGCTTACCTCCGGATATGGAACGTAGGGTGGACGTAGTCGAAATCGACAGTGGAACTGTCCATAGTAGTAGTAGTAGTAGTAGTAGTAGTAGTAGTAGTGCCCCAGAAGCATTCCGTTAATACCCTGAAAATGTTCATAAGTAATTGTCGCAGACGGACTTCCATTAAGCCGAAGGGAATCTGAACAGATGGAAAGGAGATGCAATCCCATGAACAAGAGCTTTATTTGCCTGACGTCTCAGATTCACATTCTAATCTACCATCGGGGAAAGAGTCACATAAGAGTAATATCTTGCATACGTTTCATGGTTTTTGTAGTATGCATCTGTTAAAATACTTTTGCAAAACACTGCCCTTATCTGCTTCTGTCAGTGGCAACGAACTCGAGTGTGAATTCAAAACGTTCGGCGAACACGACTCTTATTCTAGCGATCGCACCTCCTTCTTCTTGACCGCTTCCTGGAACTCGCCTCCTCACTCCTAATGGCAATCGAAATATTTATTATTTATAAATAAAAAAAGAACAATGAACGGGTATCCCACGATAACTTAACAAGTGAGAATACTGATAGGCGGACAGATAATGAAAACGAGGAAATGGCTAAAATCGCCTTGTTGGTAGATGCGATAAAAACACGTCAGTTGTAACGTACCGAAAGTCTACCCTGTTATAACTTTGATTTGTCGATGCGAACCGCTGACGTTTTGGTAAAAATTACCCCAGCAAAGGTATTTTTAAGAGTCGTTTGGACTCCACGATTTTCATAAAAGTGCTCTTTTTGCCCTTAGGCAGGTTCGGATACCCAGCATTACTTTATGCATAGTTTCATGATGATCTGTAAACTTTCAGGATCATGAACCATTTGAACAATACTTTGAAAGCCAAGTCTGCAAACACATGTTTTCGGTAATTTATCACCAGGCACAAACAGTTACGTGACGAATAGAAATATGAAATCCCATGGGGTCTATAAAGACCACATGAGTTATTAACACTCTCCGTCCACATGCCACCAAGCATGACGAAGTCGGTGTGTTGTCGCCACTGGGGCTGGGGAGAGGGAGAGGAAGGGTGCGAGACGATGTTTGTAGGTCGAGTACACGAAGTACACATCACTGTCATCGTGGGGTTTCGGCTGGATTACAATAACCACCTGCAGTCACTGTTGGTCATGAAAGACAGAACGCCTGTGTCAACGTCTTCTGACAACATACCATTGGATTCGCTAACCGCATAGCATCCGTTGGCGTAGGCCCCTAGAGAAGTTTGTTGACGTCCGGTAGACAACTTGAAGGGCTTATTTAGCATCGACTGGGTGACTCTCACCGACTGGATAGGAGAGAGTAGAACTCAAAATCGATCTGCTTTCACCCCTACCTAACCAGTCAGGTACGTTTTCGCATATCATCGTTTCCTGGCCTCTCATCGAAGGCCAATGCTGTCCCCTCCTCAGTAACAGGTGAATGAGTACATACACATCGATTTGGCCTGCAACAGTAGTCGGTCTTTACCTTCCGAAAGTAGAAGGGGAGAGTTTGTTAAACACAAACGTAAATTTTCCGCAGCAGTAGCGCTAGTGTTCCCTCTCCTTAGACGTTTTAATAGCTTGCTTCCCGCTTCCCCTAGAAAAGGCAGTCTTATAAACAAGTTTTTCTTTTCTGTAGTTCCCATGGTAGGCTACGCAGTGCGCCCCCCCCCCCCATATTTCGCAGGATGAATCCCTCTGAGTATCCCTCTCCATTAAGTATGTTTCACAGTTGCTCGAGGTCTGCTTTAACAGTTTCAGGAGAGCGGATACGGCGCACTCTAGGTGTCAATCCGTGGACTAAATGACGTTTAATATTTGGAACAATAAAATTGAAAACTAGAATACTGTCCCGTCCAGGGTTTCTCCTGGAATACCCTACACCGGGCAGACCTGCCCTCTTGTCTGTGCAGAAGGGCATCGATTTGTACTTACTCATTTGCTTTCCATACAACGAGACGCCTGGAAAGGAACGCACATGAACACTACCGGCCTGGCTAGGCAGAGGTGAAAAGAGATCGATTTCGAATTCTATTCTCGCACATCTTGTCGACGCGAATCACCGAGTCGGTGCCAAAAAGCCTTTCAGGTTGTCTACCTGACACCAGCAAACTTCTCCAAGGGCCTATGCCAATGTGTGCTAACTACAGTCGAGACAGTGTCTGTACCGCTAGCAAATCCAGTGATATGTTATTCGAAGACGTTGTCACAGGTGCTCTGTCTTCCGTGAGCCAACGCCGTCCCCAGATGGTTATTGTGTGCCGTCCCAAGTCCTCGATGACAATTATGAGTTCTCCACGTGCACGAATTAAAAACATCACTGGGTTAGATCGCAGATGGTAGCCAGGAATGGGGAGGCGGACAGCCAGGTCCCTGTCGTACGGGAATGGTGGGAAAGGGGGTCATATGGGTGGGGTAAATGGAAGGGCAGGGAAAGGAATGCTGGAGTTTCTGGGTAAAAATAATGTTGCCAGGTAAAGTGCTGGGAAATTCTAAGTAGTTGGAATAGTGCCATAACCCTAGCCCTAAACTTGACCCCAACTCTAACCTTTACCCTAACTTTAAGCCTAACCCTAACCTTAGCTTTAACCCTAACGGGAAGCTAACAGGAAGCTAAACCCTAACACTAACGCTCTTGTCCCAGCGATCGTGTCTTCTTCTCCAAGACTGAAACCTGGCCCTAAAACACAAACCCTAATCCTAAAACCTAACCTACGCCCAACCCTAACCCTCATCAAACCCGACAGCCTGACCGAAACAGACAACCTGCCTAACTCAGTAAGTGCACACTTACTGATACTAAGTTCCTTAGCCAAGGTAAGCACACTTACTGATAACAAGTACGTTCGTCGACAGTATCACCGTATAATGTCTGGCTACCAACTGCGATCTTACCCATCACTGAAAGGCTACGTCACCACCCCCTCCCCTTTGCCTCAATGGCCATAACACACTGACCTACTCATGCGGGTCGCGTGGGAACGATGAATGACAACAACCAATCAGTCACTTATAAATCCTGTTAACGTCTCATATTTTCAATTTCTATGTCACTTTATTGGCCTGATGATGACCTACCGAAAACACGTGCTTGTCAACTTGACTTTTAAATGCGGTATGGAAATATTCGCAGAAACTGGAGTTCGTGAACAATACGTGTAAGTTCGCCGTGGCAAAAGCGCTCTTAATCGCTGTCCTTGGGCGTCGCCTTTCTAGTGCTTTTGCTGCATCCCCATTTGCGGTAGTGGGTTCTGCATTTCACTCCCCAACATTCCATACGATGATTCTCTCTGGGTAACTGTTCTTGCGACGTTTGTTCCGCAGTTGCTGAAGCTCTGCCTCGATAGTTTTAGGAGAGCAGATGTGCCGCACCTAAATCTCCAATCTCTGGATTATACTTATTTTTATATATAGGGAAATAAAAGTCAACATTAGCGTATTGCCCCGTTCGGGTTTCCTTTCGGAATGGCCCACGCAGGATAGATCATTTCTCGTGTCTGTGCAGAAGAACGTCAAAATAACAAACATTTTGTTAGTTTTCACAGTAAGTTAATAAATCAAAGGTATCCCGGTTTGCGGCACATATGGCTCGTTGTTCGTTGGGAAGGATGGCCTCGTTGTTAGTTGATATTGTTTTGGACCACGCAGTAGATGCATTGCATCAACACGCGGAGAAGGTCGGATTCCGGTAGGCGTTATTAGCAATACCTTCTAGTAAAAAATGTCAAAATTCGGACGTGGAGGCACACCCAACTGCAGGCTAACGCCGCGCCACTTGGAGTGTTTAATTTACTAGGTGTATAAAATCTTCGTACTTTCTGGACCAAGGGTCGTGGTGGTACACATGGGTGCGAATTGTAGCCGTGCCAGCCGACTGTGCCCTCTCCTGCCTCCGAGTCTCCTTGACTCTGTCATATCAACGGGATCAGGTGGGGAAGAAAGGGAAAGTGCGGTAGATGCTGGACAGGGTCTACTATCTGCGTGAACTAATTCACGCGCATCATCGTTTCTTCTTCCACCCTGCTGTGGAGCAAACGGTGGACATCGTCGGTCATGACGGTCGAACTGTCGTTTGTAATGGGTGTCAGAAATCGTCGGCTAGATCTCAGTTGGTAGCCAGGAATGGAGAAGCGGACGGCAACCTTAACCCTAACCTTAAACTTAAACGTTAACCCTAACGGCAACCGTAACCCTAACCGAAATTGTATACGAAGCCCTTAGACATAGCCCTAAATGTAATAATTAACCCTAATGCTGAAACCCAATCATAAACCTAAGCCTAAAGGCATAATCCTAACACGAAAATCGGAAACCATTAACCGGTACCCAAAATTCAAGCCCAAACGTAAAACGGAAACCAAATTGGTCAGAGGTGATTATGTTTTCCCACAAAAAGGCCCCCGTAAGCGAACCCCAGCCACCTGTAATACGGGGTCTGGCTACCAACTGCGATCTAACCAAATCGTCTGTCACACATATGTCGTACTCCACGCATTCCGGACTCTGATCAGTGGGTATCAGATCATAAGCAGGAGAATGTTGGAAAGGCCACACAAAAGGAAATCCCTGTAGTCGACTACGATCCGGAAGAGGCGGCTTCTAGACCAGCCATGCCATAACTTTTAGAGTATTATGATGGTTTAATGGACAGGTATACATGCTGATGAAGATGTTGACGCTTTTATTCCTCAAGATGTACTCATACACGACTTTGACAGCTCAGATATACACAGACTTGTTTCCGATAATTGACCAGCCACCTTCTCACCCACCCAGTTTAAACTGTTTTAATTACTTAAAGCGAGGAAACACTGGGCAGAATGAAGGCTTGGTAGACCCGGTATCTCTCCAGCGTTTCGGACGTCTTTTCGATTTAAGCCGACAACACGCACAGGAGAGGAAGTTTATCCCATCTGCTTCGGTGATGATGGTTATACAGTCAAATGTCTATGTTAATTAAGTACAAGTTTAAAAGAATAAAAAACATAAAAAAATACTATAGACCGTATTGCGCTGTTTAGAAATGTCGATTTATTTTGAAAAGCGCAATATCCCGAAAACGTCAGAAATGGCTCTTATTAAGTAAAGTTCGTTTTTAAGTGGATAGAATGTATTCTCATATCAAGAACGTAGAAATTCGGAAAGCAGACATAAAATAACGTCCAATAACAGTGTTTTAGTGATGTTTACATCTAAGTATCGTTTAATAAGTAGTGAGATTTCTTATATGACGGTTTGTCAAATGCCTACATTCTAAGTGTAGATTCCAAATACGTTTTCCAGGGTTTCATAATTTCATTTACGATTTAAAGTTAAATGAAATGGGGTTCAACAACAGAGGCTGAATTTTGCTTGATTTCGCCGATGGGGACGTCGTAGGATCAAAAGTTTTTATAAGGTGACATGCCATGAGGCTGGTCGGTGCACAATAAAGTTAAATAGAACTGACAGGCGTGATCGTAAACATACAATTTTCTGTTTATAGAGAGAACGTTTCTTGTTTTTAATTAATTTATACATTCGCTTCGTTTTGGATTTCGTTGAGTTTGAGATTAACCTCGAAATATTACTGAATACTTCATGATTTTCAGTGTTTTCATCCGATCGCCCATAAAGACCGATTCTGAATTACCTGTCTGTTAAAAACTTTAAAATAATTTTGTTCTTGAAGGCAGTTGCCGAATTAGTGAGTGTTCAGGCGCTCCTTTTCACGAAGATAGTCATTTGGGTCACATTTGAAGCCTTATTCAAACATCAAACTTCATTTTCAAGAAAATGACTGTCCACAACGAAAGTCACCAACGAATATGTCTTGGATCAATAGGAAAACTTTCCTTAATAAGTTATCTCTTTAGGAAGTGTTTTATTACTGCACTCCGTCGACGGATTTCCGTGTACTTTGCACTTTCGCACGGCGAGGCCAAGTAAAAATTTGACACTTTTGACGGTTTCTTTCACGTTCCTAAACAATACTAATATGTTTCTACCGTAAACGCAAGAACATGCCTTTTTGTATACATTGAGACCATTTCCACTGTTTTCGCTCGCTTTTAGACTCCGATATTTGGCTTGATATAATTACGTAAACACAATTTCTGGAAAAGAAATGGACATTTCATTGAAGGATTTGGATGAGCGAACAAAATGCACAACGTTAAAGGCGTCCAGAAATTTTCCCATCAGTTTCCGTTATCAGATTTCATGAGATAGGTCACATACTCTGTGAAAAATTAAGAGGTTATAGTTGACAATCACGCGATTTTAATTATTCATCATGGAACCT